CCCCAAAACCCCAAAACCCCAAAACCCCAAAACCCCGGGGGTGGGAAGGGAGGTTGAGATTTATATTTTTGGGAAATTATTGAGAATAAAAAGGTTAGAGATGAAGATTTATGGGTAAAATAAAATCCTTACAAACATCATCTAAATCAGTCCTAAATCCAATTCTAAACATTCCAAACCACATCTATAACCCTCTTCCCCTATATCCACACCCCACACCCTCTATCCCCAACCTCCTCACCCCTCCAATCCCCTATCTCCCAAGCCCCCTAAATCCCCTCCTCCAAAAATCCCCCAAACCCCACTCAGCCTACCCTTCAACCCCAAAGACCTCAGTCATCAAACCCTTTCTAACAGTATTAAAAACTCTATTAGAGAAGCCTGGCTCAGCCTGCGACCTCCGAGTTATAAAAACTTGAATTCACTCAATTTGTTCTGCTTGGCTTCAGTAGCTGGGTAGAAGGATACCTATAATAAGTTAAACACTGGTTGGAGGTAGGGGCTGAAAAGGGAAATGCTTACTGCGTTTCTTCTGCCTGATCGTGGAGATCGTCCTAGAGGGGTTAGAGATTTAGAGGGGGATGGGAGGACTTACCTGAGTAGCGTTGATCTGTTCTTAAGGAGTTCTGGTTCTCAGTAGTGTTGTGATGCTCTTGTTCTATACAGTTATACGGAGGTGAGCTAGTGGATACCTTTTTCTTCCTCTCTATGGGGTTATTAGCAAGCTTACTCTCTCTTCATTCTACGGAATCTGCCTTTTTTACATTTCTTTATTCTCTTTTTCTTCTTCAATATTACACCTTTTCTTTTCATTTTAATTGGTTTTGGAAGAAGTTCTACATATACAAATAAGAATCAGAGCCATCTTTCCTTATGACACAAGAAAGATTCATTTGATAAATAGAATTTATGAAAATTAGCAATGAAAGAATTTAGATTTCCTATTCAGTTCGCTTTGGCATAGAAATCTAAAGGCTCTAGGATGAAATTTTCCGAACTAGAATCTAACAAGACTACTTTAATTTCTATAATATTCTGATAAAACGGATGGCACCTGAATTATTCAGTTAGTAATGACTAGAGCACATTCTCTAGCACTTGAACTATAAAATATCAATAACTATTATTAGGCTAATAAAAGAGAATCCCAGTCCAAGGATCTTTGGCCGAAGAGAGCTGTCCAAATAATTTAGCTAGTGGCTGGTGCGAACAGTTTTGGAAGTAATACCTACTTTTGTGCATAGGAGTCTGATATTGTTGAGCATCTATTGAGCTTAGTCGATTCTTCTGTAAGTTTAAGCTATTATTTGCATTCTCAAACTCTTTAGCATTGTCAGATAAGATCCTATACAATCATACTTGGCTATACTTACTTCTCTTTCTTGCAAAGTAACTTAGAAGATATTTTAAGTATCTAAAGGGATTAGAAATTCTTGGGTTCTTACAAACATTGCGATCTGGTTCTTTTTGTATATTGAAACAACAAAGTACAGCCATTCCAGTATAAATTTAAAGTTTATGATAACTATTGCAACTAAAATATAACTGTTCAAAATTTTGTGTTGCTCATCTTGAGAAAATAGCAATCCTCCTGATATAGTCAAAATTCCTGCCATTATAGCGAGATATTCAACCTTGGAATGTTGAGGGTTCTTGTAAGGATCGAGATAGATTTGGAGCCTTGCCGTAAAGACCAAGGCAAGCATCGAAATTCCTACAGCCATTGTTGTTGAAAGCAGCAATGAAAAAAGAACTACTATTTTACGAAGAGTGTTGATAAACTCCCAATACTTCCTATTTGGCTTTAACCCTTGATAAATCATTATGAAATACTTTGAAAGGTTCGAGTTCTTAGAATTCTTTTTGCCCGAGTAGATTATGATAAGGGCAAGGATTGGACAAGCAATCACCCAGATCAGGATGATGGGTCCTGATACAAAAATGATCCATTTGATATGCTGGGATGAGAATCACTCAATATTTGTATCAATTCTAACAACCTTGTTATCTTCGTCAAGCTCTGATCATCTAAGCAGATTGATGCTATTCTCAGTGAGTTTTGGATGAAGAAGGAAGACAACAGTAATGAATGAGATAATAAGGTTTCTCTTCGGATTCGGAACCCACTGTCTCTTCACAAAATAGATAAAGACCCACATAACCGCAATTATACAGAACAGAATTATGGGTAAGAAACAGAGAAGAAACAATTTAAAGATGGCATTCGAATCGAAGAATAACTTGATTTCAGTGTCTTTGATAAATCAGTCAAAAGAAAGGAACACATTCGCAGAGCCTCCAAAGATCCTTGCTGGGTATGAGATAGCAAGGATGGATGAGGGGAAATTATTAGTGATCGAGGTAGAAACAGTTATGAGCTGTAAATAATTTGCAAGAATCCTCAGCATAACAGATAACTCACTTTCACTAGTTTTTCTTACATTGATAATTACCAAAAATATGTAAAATGCTAAAACAAGAAGAATAACTCCAATTACTTGGAACCCATTCCAAACGGCATTTGGACATTTTCTACATTCGTAGTCATTGACTCTCTCGTATTTAACCTCATCATTGACGACTCATTGGGCTCAAAGATTTCCAGTATATCCTTCAGCTCATACAGCTGGAGAACTTCCATCTGGCTTATATTCTCCTTTTCATGAATCCTTGTTAATTCATTCCACCACTTTAGTTGAGTTATGGAACCTCCTCCAGTGGCCTGATCTCAAGTAAATTTCTGACCCTCCTAATCATTCAGCATCAAAGTCTCATTTTGCTCATTCTGTTGAGTTGTAACTTAATGAATATGTTCCAGCTGCTCATACTTCTCACTTGTCACCAAGAATCCTTTCTCCTGGCTGGCAATCTCTGAAGCTGGCTTCAAGCTCTTTCTGTTGGAAGCTACTTCCCAGAACTTCCTTTACTTTAGCAGAATTGATAGATTTTGAACTGACCGAGAAGTTAGATTTTCTTAGTTCTTTACTGACTTCGAGTGCAAGATTATCAAAGACAGCAACTCCTTGTTTGACTTGTGCGGTATTGGTTCCACTCACTGAAGATTTTGATGAGTCAGAGGGCAAAATAAGGATTTGGTTTTCGTCATCAAGAACCATAACTTGATCGTCTAAATCGATCAGTGCTAATTCAAGGTTTTCAGTTATTATAATTCCTGATGCAACATTATCAATCTCAATAGGATCATTAATTGTACTGTTTCTTTCTCCAATCCTAGCTGGGTAGCTTGCATAGTTAGGTCCATAAACAGCTGAGTTATTTATGAAAGTCGTCTCTATGATATTTGGATAATTGTAATTATATGAAATCGCTCCTCCTTTGACAGTTGCAGAGTTCTTTTCAAATATTGATTTTGTTATATTAAGTTCTCAAGATGCGAAACTTGTTCATTCAAAAATAATGGCTCCTCCTTCAGTTGCAGAATTCCTTGTAAAATTAGTGCTCTCAATTGCCAACTTTGAATTGGTCATAGAGATAGCCCCTCCGGAACTATTTGAGAAGTTATCCTTAAACTCAGAATGTGATAGTTCCTTAACATTCGAATTCACAAAAGTAAGAGTTTGATTAAGACTTGTCATTTTCAAGCCTGTAATTTTAGTGATTTCAGAATTTTTGAAAAATGCAAAGGTTGAAGTCGTGTTTGATACATTGATGCTCTCCAATGTGATATTGGCCGTGTCATGAACATAGACCATTACTGCTTCTGATGGAGTTGAGTATTGGACTTCGATGTTGGCTAGATAAAACCAATCGCAAAGCACCACAGAGAGCAAGTAAGGACACTCAGAAACATTTTGGATCTTGATTTGATTCATTTCAAGATGAGAACTTAAAGAAATCATTATTTGTGAATTGGAATCACTGTAAGTAACATTATTCACACTCATCTTTGCAGAGTTTGCAATAATAAAGCTTTCTTCTACTGAGCTCGCTTGTGCTCCACTAATCTGTGTGTGCTCCATAGTGAATATGGAATCAAGAATGTTAAGTGGAGATATTGAATACTCAACATTAGAAAATTGAGAGTTCTCAACTGTGACTGTTGATAAGAAAGATTTCAGAACCAAATTCTCATCATGAATATGAGTTGAGTTAAGAATGTTCAAGTTTCCTTGTAATACTTGGAAGAGATATCCTTGCTCCGATGTTGCTGTCAAGTTTGTGCTATTGAGGTAGGCCTTCATTTCTTGATGCAAAAATCATAAATTTACACAATCTTCAGAAGTTTCAGTTGTAACACTTGATTTACTTATGAGTTTATTACTATATATTTCAGTATTCGTAATGTTAGATGATTCTGTGCTAAGAAATACAGTTCCAACTGGGTATTGGATAGCATAGTTTTTAAATATTTGACTGTTCTTTATAACAGCCATACCAAATGATGAAATTTCAAACACTCCGTTTGTGATAGCAAAGTTTTCAGAAATGCTTCAGTTATCAATTGTCATCAATGCGTTTGCTTCTATTTTAGCTATTGACGCAACTGTAGCAGAGTTTTTGGTTAAGATCGAGTGTAAAACTGTTACTTTGGCTCCATCAAAAATGTTCATAACTCCAGAGATGAATGTTGTCAAAGTCAAGTTTGTGAAAGAGCTTCTTTCTATCACAACTTCAGTCTTTTGTTGAACTTCCATAAAGGTATTTACTGAGGATTTGATATTTGTAAATGAACAGTTGCTCATTATAAATAAGGTACTGAGATCTTCAGTTTGCTTGCTTCCTTCAATACTGATCAGTCCCGAAGTAATGTTGTTGAAAGTTGAATCCGACAAAGTTATATTTAAGGGAAGCTGATGCATAATTTCAAGCAGGGTTCCAGTATTAGTGTACTCAATGTTCTCAAATGTAAAGTTTGATAAACTGATTAATAGATTTGTGTTCATTGAAATTCTCTTTGTTGAAATTAACACTCTTTTTGCTAGGATAATTGAATCTGAATACATTATTGATTCAATAGTAAATGGGTTAGGATTATCAGTGATATTTATGAAAGTGTTTATTTTGAATAATGAGAACGAAGAATTTCTGATCTCAACTTGGCTAAATTGAGCAGTAACCATATTCCCAATATTTAATGATGCAATACTTAAATAAACAGAGTCCCCGTCTGACTCATCTATAGATGTTGTATTTTCCACAGTCAGGTTAGTTATAGAAAATGAATTTAATCCCTGAGCATAAAATAAGTATCCTTCAGATGGGATCTTGGCTGAGTTTAGAGAACAGTCTTTTATCATCATTTCATTAGCAGAGCCAAGCACATTCATAAAAGGAACATCGTGATGTTCAAACGAATTCATATGTATTCCACTCAATTGTATATTTGTAGTTGGGCCAGGTATAAGCTCAATCGGAGAGATTGAGCTGCCTCCAGCATTAGTGTAATTAGTCAGGTAGATATTACTCATACTAAACGGCCCTGAAGAAATAGCATCGAACATTTTCCCTCTAAGATTGATTCCTTCTTCAAAATAGAAATTATCAATAGTTAAGCTGGCATAATTAGTGATTTGAAAGAGAAAAGGAACTGTAGTAATGTTTGTGAATCTGAAATTTGATAGATGAATTTGTTCAGTTCCACTCAGCCAGAAATAAAATAAGCCGTAGATCGACACCCTGTCAATGTTGGAAACAACTGTGTTGTCCATATATACATTAATCTTTCTGTATGGAGGAGCATGGCTAAGACAAGTGGGAAGGTAGATAAACCCATTAGATTCTATATTTGTACCTCCATTGTGGATTGTATTGTTGAAAATACGGGTTACAGGAAGATCATCGTCAGGAAGACACTGTGGGGCATTGAGTCCAAACCAGCATGCTGAAAGCCTGAGAGGGTTTGCAGTTGAATGGCTTCAATCAATATTAGTAAATGTGTAATTTCCAGGTGATGAAGTAGCTATTAAACTTCCATAATTATAAGTACCTGGAGTCAAATAATCACTAATATTGTTAGCATAGATAGTAAAATTAGTAACTGCCTCAGGAAAATTTCAGAATGCATAACTAGCTTCAATACAGCTCATTCCCTTCATCATATCACAAGTGATGTTTTCAGCATGAATACTCAGAGGATTCATTGGAAATAATCCACTTCCACTCGAATTGAAGAACATATTCTCTAAAACAAGGATTAGCCAAAAATTTCTATTTCCCGACATAAAGCGAAAATTAAATCAGAAACTTTGAAAATTGAGTATTTTGACCCAAAACCCTTAAAGATAAGATCTCGTAATATCTGAAGCCACCAAAGGCAACTATATCAGCATATTCCTCTTCCCAGCAGGGGGAGTTTTAGGTGACCACAAGGTCTCTGAACAGTGAGAATATATAGGAATAATTCTGAACTGATTAATAATTGGTAAGTTTATCCTAAAAGTTGTAGAAGAAAAGTTAATTGAAGATAGTCTCAGTTTTGGCTATGAGCTAGTTCATAGGAAAGATGTTTTTGAAATGATATACATTGATCTTCTATTTTCTTCACAATAATAGATTCGTACATTTTGAATAGAGATAAATTTTGTTAAGAGAGATAGTGACAAATAGATGAAAGAAATAGATGACAAGAATAGGTTGAATAATACATATTAAGACTTCTTTTTAAATTAATTAGTCTGAGCAAGAAACACTTCTAATTTTGAAAGAGCCTCAAAGCAATCTGAATTTGTATTATTCAGCCTCTCTTAGACCATTATTTAATTTCTTCTCTTTGACTCACTAGCTTTCCCAAAGGAGTTTAACTTATTCAAAATGTTTGAATATGGTATTTCTCAGAAAATTGGTTGACCAATGCAAATCTAGGTCAAGGTGTAATTAGGGTGATATAATAATTGAGATTCAGAGCTCAGATAAGTTTCAGTGTCATGCACACGAGTAATTTTTCAAAGACTCTCTAAGTTTCTCTTAAACCTCTTTTTTAATAATGTGTTTATACTTCCAAATCGTTGATTAAGTAAATTTTAGGCAGATACAACTCAAAATTTTAGGATTTTGATAAATTTTGTAACAAATTTCAGGTATAAAAATTATCATAAAATTATGGGATGTTATTAAACAAATAAAATATTATATATTCAAAAAGCCAACTCTAAGCAATACTAAAACTATGCCAATCATCCCAAAAATACAATATTTCCCCACTACCTCTTAATACAATCCCCAAGTACTTCCCAACCCTAAGACCCCCTTATTTCCCCCCAAAATCCCCAAACCAGCCCCTCCCACACAAAATTCCCAAAATCTGTCCCAAATTCCCCAACCTCCCTAGCCAAACCCAAAGGCTAAGTCATCTCAGTTGTAATAGCTTACCGATTTTAGCAAGTTTTTCCTGCAAGTGGACTGGGAAAATATTGTAGTTTACTTCAGAGCCGTAGATATTGATGTCTTTGAAGTGAACGTTCGTTCTGGAGATGAAAAAACCTTTCTTAGGCATTAGGAAAGCGCCAATCTCGGTGGTAGTGTAGAGGGATTGGTCGATGAATGGGTTAGGGTCGACATTGATGGTTTTTAGTAGGTGAACTCGGGATTTGGAGGAGATGCCAGGTTGAGGGTCTGGGGTTATGACGATGTTTGACCTTTGAGACATTCGTTGGTAATCTGGGTGATTTTGTATGGTGATGGATGTCATGTTCATCACGTAGAAAGTGTCTGTTTGGAGGTAAGCTTCTTTTGTATAAATAGTGACATTGAAGTTTGAATGGCTGTAGTGGTTTAGGATTTCAGATGCAGCAGATTTTAGAGTTCTGTATGGATAAGTTTGAGTTCCTAATTCAAGGATTTCCGAGCTGAAGTGATCAATAAAAATCTCAGCACTTCTTCAAATTCTACCATGGGTAAGATGTTCTGAGTTCAATTCAATTTTCCCTGACTCTCAAGCATCCACTCAGACTAGATCATCCACATCCAAGAACTTCTCCCCATCGCAGCTCATACAACTTGGCCTATGCATTCACTCCTCATCACAAGAAGTTCCTCATGGCTCACAACTCTTCGTAATTAAATTATAATACTTTTCTACTTCTCAGTGGTCTCACAATCCTGTTGTCGCATTCTTGTACATATACTTCTCTCATGTATCTCAGGTCGTTCCTTCACTACATGTTTTTCATGAGCTTTCTCAGGGCTGGCATTCTTCACCATCCTGGAAGTATCCTTCCATGCATCCGAAGGGGTAAGTCCCCATTGCTAGAGGGACTACTAGGCAAAGCAAAAGAGCCAAAGCTCAAAAAAGCTTTGGCCTTGATTTGTTGGTCTTCTTCATCTGGCTTTAATCTCAGCAAAACGATTTAATCTAAAATACTGGTTAGTCAGATTCCGAAGAAGTAAATTTTATAAATGATCAGAATCCAGTTAATTTTGAAAGCTCTTGCTGAAAGTTAGTAACACGAAATAGGAATTTTATTAGAGCCAGCATACTTGGAAAGATGAATATATTTATTATTATGATTGCTATTATTTTTTATTGATATGGGGTTTTGGGGTTTTGGGGTTTTGGGG